AATCCACCTGCCTTCATCTGGGATTTCGTTATTTCGTTTTGTTATATATTCTTTGCACGGTCAAATGTATTCTTTTACTGATAATGTGCAATTTAGGTTAGAAAAATGAAGATAAATCTTCATGTACCAGGTATTTACAGTCCCGGCACTCAAGTGTGGAGGTGACAGCTTGAATGTGAAGGATTTTTTTTTCTCTTCACAAAAAAATAGGACTTCAAGACTTAGTTGAAGATAAAATGAAAGTTTGAAAGTACATCGTAAGAAGGCTGGACCAACAAAACCTGTAACTCACGTCTAAATCTTCTACAGTAGAGTTCAAGCAATAGAAAATTCAAATTTTGATATTTTCCAGCTAGTAAAAAAATATGAATGAAAAATGATAGTCAAGATATTCTATATTTTAAATATAATTGCGTATATTTAAAGATTTTTAATATTATTCAACATGTTAGCCAGTGGACCATGACTTGAATTACTACTTTATGTAGCAATGCCGTCATTAAATGGTGAATTTAAATTGTATTTATTTTCAGTATGTGTGCATGGTGGAAAAGCTTTGATAATTAAAAGAATCTAACAACACTTATATTTACTGAAGCCAATTTCGATATGTAAGTATGCAGTCAAAACATTGATCATTGAAATACTCTTACAATTCTAATCTTTATTAACAAAATTAGTTTAGGGAGAAAGTCTATATTGTTGTTCACTATAATCAAACTAATTATTCAAACTTATATGTGCTCTCCTTAACTGAATGGTGCTGAATATATTCGTTAATTACGAATATCATCAGCGCAATGCGTAATTTTTCAGAATTTTTTCATAAAATTTTAAAATGACGAAATAATTTATTTTGAAAAATATTTTAGAAAAAATTGCACATTGAGCAGACGATATTAGTAATTAATGAATTTATTCAGCATTATTCAGTTAATGAGAGTACATATAAGTTAGAAAAATTACTTTGGTTATAATGAGCAATACTGATCTCAATACTTCAATCTCTAAATTTCATCAATTTTTCTTCTATCAGCACTAGAAGGTAAAATCAACACACCCGCTCTTATAGTTCGTTCATGCATCAGAACACCCATAACCCCAGCGACTAAAGGCGGTGTTACACCACTAAATGTGGCGCTAAGTGGCACTGAAGATCACAAGATATCGATAATAAATTTATTTTGTGAGATTTTCACATTTAAACGACAGATTTTAGCCCCAAACTCTTAGCAGACAGCGTCGGGTACGGGAACTTATTTTCGGACTGCAGATTTCGTTAGTTTCGCAAGCGCAAGATGTGTTCACTTTCAGTTTAAAAAATTGGCAAACAGATGACAATGCTTCATTTAAGTATTCAATTCTTTATTATAACCTACGGATGGCTTCTGATTAAAAAGCTGATATACTAGACAATTGAAAAAATCATATTGCAGAGCGATGCATTCCTGAGAAGTTAAGTTCATCTTTCACTTTTCGTGCAGAAATCAAACTGTAATTTGGGTTCAAACCCATAATTAAAACGAATATTACTCTGGTGAACTGCCACAATACAATGAACTGCTCTCTAATTCATGTTCCCATTTGTGATCATTGTTGCAATATGCAATCTCGATTTACTTTTTGAAACTAACAGAAATATTTTTATTTTATTTGTTAGGCTGTTCTCACGCATACAGAATAGCTCGACACACTCGATCTATTCATCAGTTCATCGATCAATGTATGACATCGATTAATAGGAAAATAAATGAAATTCATGAAGTTTCTACAATTTACTACAAATCAATAAACTTATTCAGAATACACATCAGTTCATCCGTTTACACATCAGTTCGTCATTTTACACATCAGTTTACAAACAATTGCTTCATCGACGCATTATCAAATGCTACACTTCTAAGATCAGTTATTTAAATTATAATAATGAAGCTCATGTTCTAGATATCTATGGAAAAGATTAGGAGGAATGTCTATTTATATGGGAAAGTATCACATGATGCAGGTCAAGTTATATCATCAAACAAGAAATTACGACAAAGTGTCGACGTTCAGGATATTTTCGATAGGCTCATTTAAGTAAATTTGGTCAATTTTGGTCAATAAAATACCACCACCGGCCAAGCATAGTGCACTCAGAAAAATAGAGTGGTCATCTTGTGCCAAAAGAGACACTCTTTCTTAACCACAGCAAGAACAATGAATGGACGTAGCACTAATGATTTTTTTTTGCCGGTCCAAACTGGGTCAAGATGACTCACACGTGAGCAACACGTACATCGCCATCTGGGGCAAAATCTCACTCATTTGTCTGGTATTTTCTCGTCATTGGTATCCGCCAATACATGATTAAAAAAATATAACTCAGTACTCGCTGCAGTGAGTGACAGAGAGCGCATTTTCTCGTCGACGAAAACGTGAAGTCACGGACGGACAGACAGACAGACGGACGGAGAGACGGACGGACAGACGGACATGGCGAGCAAAATAGTGCATTTTTTCCATAAAAGAGAAAATGCGCTAAAAATAGTTTTCATTTATGGATAACATTTGATAGAATATTGGGCATGTGAACTGCCGTATCTGAGCAAATGACTATGAGAGTCATTTAAAAAATACAGGCGCTGTGCTCTTCTACACATCGGAAAATGTTTCTTTCTGTACATATGCAGTATAACTCGTTTATCATGCCTTCTTCAAATTAAAAAAAATTACAAATTCTTGTTAATAAAAGTAACCCAATTTTCGTTTAAAATAGGCACAGGTGGTGAAGATTATTATTTTGATGAAATTATTTTTTGCTAAAGGTGACTTCAGACAATATTTGTAGATGAATCTAAAATTCAATCACTGGAATGGCAGTAGACAAAAATTTTATCTGATTGCAACGGAATGTCAGTGAATGAAAATAATGTTTTACAATAGGTATAATGGTTAACAATAATCCCAGGTAACGCGTGCGATTAACAATAATATTCATCGCAATCATCGAAATTATCGGAACAATATTTATCACAGGAATTGTGTTTATATATGTGATATGAAATAATCTTAGGGCAGATTTATTTCCACGCAATTTATATCAGTTTAATTAAGGTGGGTTAATTTTGCTAAAGTTGCATGTCCACTGATATGAAGGATGCACGTCAAGAGCCATTTGGTTCTAAATTAATTATCAAAGACCTTTAGAATACTTGTCAAGAATATAAGCAATTTCCAGATTTGCTTTTAGTACAAATAATGTTGTCCAAGAAGTGTTTGTGGGTGTCAGTATTATTAAGTGTATAAGAATCTGTGCTAGCAAGAAGTGTGTGTATGAGTATGTGAGTGTTAGTGTGTATGAGTGTCAGTAAGAAGCGCATGTGTGTAAGTGCCTGTGTTAGCAAGAAGTGTGCGTGTGTGTGTGTGTGTATGTGATAATACGAAATGTGTATGTTTGTGTTAGTTGTCGTTATCGCGGCAGGCCTTCCGATGCATGACAAACATTTCAGGCATGAAGGTTCAAGTACACATGTGTCTGTATTAGTAAGAAGTGCATATGTATGTGAGTATGTGCATGTATGTATGTGAGCACGAAGTATGTATGTGTGCACGAAGTATGTATGTATGTATGTGAGCACGAAGTATGTATGTGTGCACGAAGTATGTATGCTGTCTCTTATACACATCTAGATGTGTATAAGAGACAGCTGTGTCAGTGTTGGGTGATTGCATGACTCTGTGTCAGTGTTGGGTGATTGCATGACCTAGCATCAGTGTAAGGGGATTGCATGACCTAGCATAAGTGTAAGGTGATTGCACGTCTCATTATCAGTGTTCTCTGATAACACTGACCGCCGTTCGTGCTGGTGACACTGATAGCCACGCAAGGCTCGACGGAAGCCACATCCGTTGGACACTACACAGTTACACTCATTTAAATAAGTGTTACTGTCAAAATAACAATGCTTTTTAGTGCATTTTCTCATTTATGGAAATAATGCACTGTTGTGCTCGCCATGTCCGTCTGTCCGTCCGTCCGTCTGTCCGTCCGTCCGTCTGTCTGTCCGTCTGTCTGTCCGTCCGTCTGTCCGTCCGTCTGTCTGTCCGTCCGTCCGTCCGTCCGTCTGTCCGTCCATCCGTCCGTCTGTCCGTCCGTCTGTCTGTCCGTCCGTGACTTATATACTATTATGTACATCGGTTAGTATATTATACTATTATTCTTTATTAATATATTATACTATTATAGTATATTATACTATATAATATACTATTATGTACATCGGTTATATATAATGTAACTATTACATATAACCGATAGGTTACTTACAGCACGTTTTGCTGGCAATATGTTGTTGTTATGGTTACGTCCTAATATTATAATGATATTTCCGTTTCTGTTTCATCGCTGTAAGGTTTAGTAACAATAATAACTTTGTATATAAGATGGTGATTACCATATTGTATTTTCTTGGTTCACGATTTTCCGGATACTTCTAATTTAGTCGTTATAAAAGTTTTTTTTTCTTATATAATCGTAGTCACAAGCACAACATGCTCCTTCAAAGACTAGCTTTTTTGCTGTCATTTTCAAAGAGTTCAGCGGCTGTCCGTATTTTTAGCTGAAAAAATAATTTAATTAATTTACAATTAGGTATGAAATTAATTTTTCCAGTCAAATTAATTTAACTTTAAATTTTTTGATTAAAATTTCATAATTCCTCAGTACAAACGTTGAGAAAATCTTTCTAGAATCACTTATTAATTAATTCCTTCCGAAATAATTAGGTTTACCTATATATTTTATAATTCCTACATTTACTTTATAACTTTATAAATTTTTTATTAACTTTAACATAACTTTAAAATGACTTTAACATTCACTATCATATCGCGCAGAATCTTCCCGTCGTTCATCATGTACTTTAATAAAATTTTTACTATAGCGTTTTCTTCAGCAGCGAATAAAGAACTCTGGAATTTACAGACTTGGCCGTGACCTTCAATAAAGAACTACGTAGTCAGGTGCAGACATCGATTGCGGTGCTGCACCTGCTGGCAGCTGCACCTGCTGACAGCTGCACCTGCTGACAGCTGCACCTGCTGACAGCTGCACCTGCTGACAGCTGCACCTGCTGACAGATGCACCTGCTTCTGCTGACAGCTGCACCTGCTGACAGCTGCACCTGCTGACAGCTGCACCTGCTGACAGCTGCACCTGCTGGCAGCTGCACCTGCTGTCAGGTGCTCAGTATATTGTGCACATATATGCGACTAATTCTATATATTTTGACACGTCGCAAGTTAGTTAAACTGCTGAGTGCGTTCATTCCTTGAAATTATCAAATTTTAACTAAATAATTTTCAGCGAACTTTGTTTTCCAATATTTGCCCAAATTGCTTATTTTCTTATTCTGCGCTTTCGACAAATCCTAGTTTCTTCGATTTTCTATCACACTTTTATCCGATTAAAAAAAAACGATAAAATATAATAAAAGTATTGCTGCTAAAAATTATCGTATACTGTTACTGTTAATTAACAGCCTATTTGCTGGTTAATTTTAAAAATATGGTGTTAAAACTTGCAAACTAAATTCAGGCCATTGTAGACAATCATTTATTTTCCGCTTGTCATTTTATGTTTTGATTAATAACTATTATATTTACTTTAATTGTTATTACACTTCAAATTATTCTTCCATGTTTAGTGATTCTATGATTTCCTTAATTTTTTCATTGTTCATAACCTAAAATAATTGTTATTAATGGAAATATTAATATTTTGTACTGACTGTATTGATTAATAATTATTCTATTTACTTTAATTGTTATTACACTTCAAATTATTCTTCCATTTTCATTTATTCCATGATTCCCGTAATTTTTCCATTGTCCATAACGCAGAATAATTGTTATTAATGCAAATATTAATATTAGTTTATTTATTCTAAGACTCCAGTAATTTTTTATTGTCCATAACCTAAAATAATTGTTATTAATGTAAATATTAATATTTGTTTATTTATTCTAAGACTCCAGTAATTTTTTTATCGTCCATAACCTAGAATAATTGTTATTAATGTAAATAATAATATTTGTTTATTTATTCTAAGACTCCAGTAATTTTTCATTGTCCATAACCTAAAATAATTTGTATTAATGTAAATATCAATATTTGTTTATTTATTCTTTTTTATTGTCCATAACCTAAAAAAATTGTTATTAATGTAAATATTAATATTTGTTTATTTATCCTAAGACTCCAGTAATTTTTTATTGTCCATAACCTAAAATAATTGTTATTAATATAAGTATTAATATTTTGTACTGACTTTTGGCTTCTCGAGCTTGGCTGTGATTGGTCGAGGCCTGCGGGGGGCGGGGAGGCTGTGCTGCAGCTCAGGCCGCAGCTGAACGGGGTAGTGGGGCGGGGGAGAGGGGGGCGACGCCCGCTCTGACCTGCCAAACAAGAAAGAATTTGTAATTTATAATAACATGTAAGCAATCTAAAATAAATTGTAATTTAAATGTATTAATTTTTTCATTTTTCCCTGGAAAAGTAAGCAATCTAAAGTAAATTACAATTTTAAAATATGCATTTTTTTCATTTTTACTGAAAAATTTTTCCCGAGTTTATCAATTTCCTTATTTTTTCGAATCTGGCCGTAGAAATACTCGCCTCATTGGCATTTAGCATTATTTAAAAATACTCCAAGTCAAAACCATTCATTAAAATCATTATACATAAGAATTTTACATCAGTAAAAATATCCACAGTTCGTGCAATATTGGTACTCTTGAGTTACTAATTGACAATAACAAAAAATTATTAACTAACGTCGAAATAATTCGCATCCATTATCAGTGGATAACGATGTAGAAGGAGAACTCCGCTCCATACACAAAGTTACTGGGTCTCTGCAAGCGGGCCCTAACGTACGAGGATGAATCAAAATGGATCAACGGATCTTCAAAGGCCACACGAAATATTCAAATTTCGTGTAAAATCCGCAGCCACAACATAGAACTATAAACTAAATGCGTATAGGTTTACGAGCACAGACAATATATATACACTAAATGCAGGTATTTATAGACATTGCAAAGTGTTGGAGGTCAGGAAAAAGTAGGCTACCTACTCTTAATCAGCTGCTTCTCGAGAACACTATCTACCCATACTTTTTCTCTTTAGTCTTTGACAGAGAGGTGCGGCGGCTGAAGAAAACAGCGTTTTAAACAGCTTTTTAAGCGCGGCCAACTCTAGCCCGCTACAACGACAAATAGAAATTGTGTAATACATGTAATAGATGTAATATATATACGTCGAAATCTGCGTCACCGACCAGAGTTGGCAGTGTGGAGGGAGAATGTCTCCCTGACATTCTCGCTGAATGCCATGCAGTCATTCCACGAGGCAGGAATGTAACCTATTCCGCTAAATTCCAGATCTTCGAAGCCATTTCAATAATTTGCGTTTTACGCTTTGCCGTCTGGTCGAGCAAAATATTAGAGAAATGATGTGTACTAATTTTGTGTCTAAATAAATAATGTCTAAATAGCGATGCAATTTTAGCCTTCATATGGGTCATCCTGACTCAGTTTAGCCCGGCAAAAGAGTATATTGTGAGTAAGAGAGTGTGTCAATATTAGGACAATGTTTCCCATTCATTCCCCTGAGTGAAATGTGTTAATCGGTGGATGTGTTCTAAGGGTTTTCATGGTTTTATTTCAAGCAGTCATAGACCTACCAGTTTACCGAGATATTGTTAAGGGATGCAGCGCAATAGTGTTTATTACAGTTGGGTGTCCTGATTTTTTTGTTTTAAGTCACCTCAGACGTGACCTCGTTCAGATATGCTTTGCACTTATATTATCAGTCTGCTTATATTGCAAGTTCACAAGGAATTTAAAATCAAAGAAAACGCCAAGCTAATTCACCATATTGATATTGAATATATCGATATGGTGAATTTGACTGGCGTTTTCTTTTTTTTAAAGCAAAGAAAACGCCAAACAAATTCACCATATTGATATTGAATATATCGATATGGTGAATTTGACTGGCGTTTTCTTTTTTTTTAAAGCAAAGAAAACGCGAAGCAAATTCATCATATTGATATTGAATATCGATATGGTGAATTTGACTGGCGTTTTCTTTTTTTAAAAGCAAAGAAAACGCAAAGCAAATTCATCATATTGATATTGAATATCGATATGGTGAATTTGACTGGCGTTTTCTTTTTTTAAAAGCAAAGAAAACGCCAAGCAAATTCATCATATTGATATTGAATATCGATATGATGAATTTGCTTGGCGTTTTCTTTGCTTTTAAATTCCTTGCTCTGCACTTATTCATTGCTGTGTGATCCAGCGCGGAGAGAAGCTCCGATTCTTGAGTCCAAAGTAAGAAGTAGAGCAAAGAGAAAACACGGTTATATTTTTGTCTTTATTTGTATTTGTCGTTTGTTTATTATAGTTTTAACATAATATTCATTTAACATTTTTATTCATCCTATTTTTTACCACTATACCCACGACAATATATACCAATTTTTCATCTAAAATTGACATTTTTAAATCGAGCTACGGAGTTTCACTTGTGTCTTATCAAGCTATCTAAAGAGCTCAAAAAAGTTCTTACGTTTTTTAAGAAATAATATAGTTAAGCCCAAACACTCTTCTTGATCCTTCCTCCGGAGTGACCGGAAATATATTTAGGAATATTGTTAAACGTTGAACAAATTTTTTGGTACAACATCAAATTCACTAAATTTTTACTGAACCTTAATTGATTGCTGGATCCTTCACGTTGAACTCAATGCGATAGTACAGAAATATTTTTTCCGCATAATATTGAAGTTGTAAAACCCATAACAAAACCTAAATGCTTGTTTCTTTTCATATATGTTCGTGTTTTTTCCAGGTATAACCAAAAGGCGATTGCATTTGCATCAATGATAAGAAAAAATTTTGTCATCACGTAAATCCAGAAATTTGTTTGGTTATTTTTTCGTTTTTAAACACAGTTTCGATTGCTTATTTTTCTACAATAAAAAAGTCTCACATATCATCATCAAGTTTCTATCATCCGAAACAAGAATAAATATCTATCATCCACAGATGATAGCAAAGCCCTCGTGCCTCCGTTTCTAGGATAAGACAAAATACCGAATATACCAGAACCGAATTTTATCGGGCATGTTCAGGGGCCATACTTTCAAAACTCGCTAAATGAATGTATGTACTTACGCTCTATTTTCTTGTCTATGATTGGTGGGTTTGGCTTGAAAGGCCGTCAATGATTGGCTGATGAACTTACGATCTCTTAACTTTTTTGAAAGTATAGGCCAAGTACAATAAATAAAGGCGTGTGGTTCTAGTATTCGTCACCAATGATTCATTCATCAATGATTCATTGATTTTCAAGTAAACATTGCGATCGATCTTGCGGTAAGCTCCAGTTCTTGGAAATGGCGCGATCACGATTCATACACTCAAAAAAAATATGGGTAATTTTGTCCGATTAGAGGCCCAATTTCTGCCCGTAGCACTGATACGTCCTTTGGCCGAACCAAAGTAGCATCGAAAAGGACAAGAAATGCATCGCTACTTAGACAGATTCTTACTCATTTCTTCGAGTGCATGTACACAATATCACTCAGCTCCCTCATAAAAGTTTTACTGGTACCCAACTCTCAATAGGTTAATTTTTGCTCCCAAACACATCTTTTGCTCATTGTTGTTAAGGGATCATTATTTATTTCTCTAGGATATGAATGCATGCGTTTAAACGTTTCATTCATTGTTTTAGTTTATCTGCGCGATTTGTTCACTCACATTGAATGCAGTGCATATCACTAAATATTCTCATACACACAATTCAAAGTCATCTAAATTTTGAATATAAATGATATTTGTATGAAAGGACTAGTTCACTTGACAATCAATATATGCGTGAATGAAATTAATTTACTGAACAAATTAGCCAACCTGAGCACAAAATAAACACAATTTTATGAAGTATGAAATCTTAAGCATAGGACACAAAACTACCAGTGCACTTAATCCTACAATGCACAGAAGCATGAATTTGCAAGAAGTTCATTTGATTGTTGCCATTTTTCCTGTCCCGAATTATTCTCGTGTAAATAGAAAAAGCGATGAATTCTCTCTGAAACTTGGAATTCTTTTTGGAATCATCAAACTCTAAAACGTGTAAGCCGTTTTATAAAGCAGCATTAGCCACCTCATTAATTAAGCATTTTTAAATATTGATGAGAGCAATTATCTTCTCACAATTGCTGGCAATACGTTTGTATCTTATAGTTACTAACCAGTATAAATTTCTTGCCTTATATTCAATGCAACGCTTATCTTAACGCCTCTTTGTTTTGTTCGAGTGTGCCTAGCAACGAAACGTCGACTGTGTCGGCGTCAGGCGCAGCTTTCGCCTTCAATAGCGATGACTTCGACCAATCAATACCAAATAAGGATTACGGCCACTAATGTTCTCGATATACATACTCGTACGAGAAATTATTTAGATTAAGGTACAGACTTTAAAATTTCACGATATGCAATATCATATTACGTACTCTCATGAGAAATTAGTTATATTACACTGCAGGCTTTAAAATTATATTATATGCAATGTCATAATATTGATTTTTCTGAGACTGCAGGAAGAAGAATTCGTATCACTGTTTTCGCATTCCCTACCCACGTTAAATAAATTAAATAAATATACTAATTACTATATATTATATATACTATAAATACTATATATTATATATACTATATATTAAATTATAGTAATATACTAGAACTTTGCCTTACTTATGATAGCAGAAATTAAGACTTTACTGCAAGACTAAAAACTATCATAAACTTGCCATGTTTTTTACACATGAGAAGTGAGTTATATCACATTGTCTGATATTCATATCACTTAGGGCGGCAGGAGAGATTGAGTCTTGACTGCAACATTTCATTACACGCATACATGGCAGTTACGGTGGATAGGTATAGGCTTTTAGAACGTACAGGGTGAACCAGAATTAACTGACCCTTTTAATTTATTAATAAATAAAAAACTAAGAACGTTATGAAGTTGAAACTTGTTTTATTTAAAAGAACATTTTTATGGTAATATTGTATCCTATTACAATATTTTATTATTGTATTAGTTAAAATATTTATTATTTTCATAACGTTCTTAGTTTTTTATTTATTAACAAATTAAAAGGGTCAGTTAATTCCGGTTCACCCTGTAGTTTCAGTGGAACTGTTCCTTATTAAAAGCGTGATATATCGTGCGTTACAGTTGCAGTCATGAAAGAAAGAAATTGCTCCTATAATGTAGGTTTAGCTAGTGAGAAAACTTTTGTATTTCGTGCATTACAGTGAAATTCTGAAAGATGAACCGAGTGTTGAATTTGCGTATTGTGTGATCCTATATTCCAAGTAAGTTAGATGTAACTTTATAAAATATATTGTCACGCCACTGAAATTTGCATATTAGGCTGATGATTTTATAAACAGTTGTGTGTGTTCGGTATCGATAGAATTTATAACAGGAAATGGTCAATTATTACATTTTGGTTAATTGGGAAAAATATAAATATTAAAATATGGTTAATAATGGCAATCGAAAATTTGAAGTCTTATTTTAAATAACCATCGTTGAATTAGCTTTAATTTACACCTTCTGTCATTTACGATGTTCAGTTCACTTTTTCAAAAAGAAGTAATGAGAAAAATTCATTTGTTTACCTTGCTTCTACTTCTTCATTTGTTCCCATGTGTGCTGTTTCATTGTCTGCTTCATCGCCGGTTTCACTTCCTCCTCGTTCTTCATTTTCTTGTTCATCTTTATCTCTTTCTTCCGCACTTATTGGACTATCATCATTTACTTCACCCGTGGCATCTTTAATGCTGTTTTCTGTCTTACTTCTACGTGTTAGTCGACTCAAGTTCAGGCTAAAAAACGGCATGACTATCAATTGAAACTGGGACCTGAACCCGTTTTTTTCCTTCAAAATCGAACCAAGAAAAATAAATTCATTTTGGATGTAGATATGAGCAGTCCGAAGTAGTATCCGGTAGATAAAAACGATCAAAAAATGGGCAGATTTTTGCAATAAAATCTTCGGACAGTGAGCTATTGGTTGACAGTGGTATTGGACAGTAATGTTTTGAATATACAAACTTTCAATAACAGCAACACCATAAGGGAGCCCTATAGTTTATTATTTATATATAAATCAATAATTGAGACTTTCGAAAGGTTGAGATCGACTTCGAGAAGTTTTGCAAGTCAAATGATTTCATGGTAGATTGTAAAATCTCTCAAAAATCAACGGAGTTTGAAACCAGGATTCACTTTACACATAGCAAACTACTTTCAGACGTTCAGCGACAGTTTAAAAGAAAACTTGAAGTATCGATCCAGTAATTGAATACATTTCAATTGACTGCGTTCTTGCACTATACTTGCAAAAGAAGATTTGTGTTTTACGTGCGTATTAAGCTCGAGTAATTTATAACTAATTTTATTTCCAGGCAGACTACTTCATAATTTTCGCTATTTCTTTACCAGCATTTAATTATGACCAGAAATTCCATCAATTGAAAATGACACACGTCAATTTAGCATTTGAAATAAAAACTTCTATAAATTATAGATTTAATCAAATCATCTAGTTCATACATTTGACAGACAATGCTCAACACTGATAAGGGAAATCTTGCACCACTGTTAACAAAAATTTATTAATGCGATAACGAAACAACAAAGTATGATTCTGAGGTTCAAATCTACTTCAATCACAAAATTTAACTGTTTCCACCAACATCCAAGACGAATTTTTATGTGCATATTTCATATTTTTAAATAGCGTTCGCATGGATGCACTTTACACTTTCAGTTGAACCTTGCAGCATTTACCTTTAACGTTCACCGAAATTTTTTGTACATACTATTACTACGCAATACACATATTTAATTTATCAACCACTTCAAGTTTTATTTATCACAAAAACACAAGTTTAGTTTAGTTTAAGAACACTCGTACACTCACTTGCGTTTTTTATCATTCTCTACGTGCCATTTTTCGAGACACGACGGCACGTGGATGTGTATCGAGTGGGAGCCGAAGCCCTTCTGGCACACGAAGCACGTGATGAAGGAGGGCGGACCCATGGTGATGACGTCACGCACTGAGCACCTGCACCTGTGGGACATGGATGAGGGGAGACTTAATAATTTGCATTTTAAAGATGGCGGTATCCTCGGTATGCAATACGAGTATGCAAGAATGGTAGCATTTTTGCTACTAAACAAATAGATGGCGGTATCATCGGTGTGAGATATATTCAAGAATTGTGGCATTATTTATATGTGTATGATAAAAATGTGGGCATCATTTTTGCAGTGCTGCACTGGCACATGAGTAAATGATGAATTGTTGATATCATAGAAGTTTCAAAGGTAGGAATGGTGGTAACATTGGTGTGTGATAAGTCGGAATGGTGAATTCATTGGTAATGGACACATGAGTGTGAGTGGTGCTACCACTCAGGTGTGTGACAGGTAGGAATGGTAGTATCATTGGTGCTGGACGCATAATAATGGAGGTATCACTGGCAGGGTACATGGCACTGATGGTGACATTCGCCGTACGCTATTTATAAGAATGGCGATATCATCTATTTCAAATTTTGTGGTATTTGGTTATTCAAGTGAGCACATGTTTCAGTCCCAAGTGTAATGGTGGCTTGAGAGCTTCTATGCAACGCAACTATCATGTGTGACTTGCTTGGGGCGATTAATTCGTTGGTGATAAATGTGATAGAAGTGATAATTGTGATGGAAGTGATGAATGTGATAGAAGTGATAAATGTGATAGAAGTGATGAATGTGATAGAAGTGATAAATGTGATAGAAGTGATAAGTGTGATAGAAGTGATAAGTGTGATAGAAGTGATAAGTGTGATAGAAGTGATAAGTGTGATATAGGTGATAAGTGTGACAGAAGTGATAAGTGTGATAGAATTGATGTGTGATAGAAGTGACAAATGTGATAAGTATTGAAAATTACTTTTGTTGTACGAACACGCAAACCAGTTGACATTAGTGATTACCAGGTAGTACCGTAGAGACTATGTATTCATGATATAAATGGGACTTTTCACGTTATTCTCTTTTTATTGTAATTTTTGCATTTCTAAGTAAGCCATTAGGCGCCTGTGGGTGATTTCATAGTACATTTGCGCTAATTGCTCCAAATTAACGCTTATATAAAACAATCGTATGAAATGAACGCTTACCGTTCAGCTTCGTCGAGGTACGCTAAATGGATTTAACTTATGATTTAGAGTCTGTCAGTTGCTTCACAATCAGTCTCGGCTTTAATCATCAAATTCACAGATCCTGAAATCAAACGGAATTAGTTTCCTCCATAACATATTATTCCTTTCCTAGGTGTATTTGACAGTATTTCATGCTACATTTCACAATACAATTTCGGACAAATTTTGTTGCGAGAGTATACCATCGAAAAAAAGTTTTTTAAGGTGAAACGAGTATACAATTGACAGAAAACGAGATTTCTAACAAAAAACGATTAAAATTTATTTGAGGCATACTATTGTACAGCTTCAAATAAATTTATGATCCCATACACTATACAATGTACGTAAGTTGATGTTACTAACGATATGTTTATAAGAACGTTCAATCACTGTTAAGCATTCGCATACTAAGAATATACTGCATAAATTCAGGTTGATAAGCGTGCCTTGAATGGGATATTTAAAAATACCCTCTAACCTGAATCCTGTCATTTCAAACCCTTTCATAATTCATCCTAAATCCGGTCGTGCTTTGACCTCAAAGTCTGACAATGCCTTATGATTATTTCACTGAGAATATAATTCAATGTACAGTTAACAACACAATACAATTAGTATCGTGGATATGCGCCCCAATTGCCCCAGTTCATTTATAGCACCAAGCTTCCTCAGCACACACACAAAAAGAAAATTTTCATTAATAAACAATACATATCAGCGCATTTTAGCACACTAGTATATATATATATATATATGTAATGCTTGAGTTTAATGTTGTGCTACTTGGACCAGGTGGGTGGCACATGGGTGGCATTATTGAGGTATACAAGTATACTCATGGCTTATCCAAGGTCCCAGAAGGATTACTAGAATTTGAAACAAGAACCAACACCAGGGACCACGGCTATAAACTAAAAAAACAGCGTTGGAACACATCCATGCGACAACATTTCTTCTCGCTTCGAGTCACCGACATGTGGAACAGCCTCCCTGATAGCATCGTTGAAGCTCCGAGTATGAACATCTTCAAAAACAGACTAGACGAAGCTATGCAGGAGCATATGTTCAGTCTTAAAATGCCTAGCAAATTACGGATCAGGCAATAAGTCCAGCAGCTATCACAAATCAATCGTCAGCTATAGAAAGATCGGGTTCCAAAGGCCGGATCCCTTGTGAATCAAGTCACGAAAAGTTCAAGAATCGGCAACATGCTATGGGCCTATTTCCTCAACGCCGACACTTCTATTCTATTCTATTCAGTAAACATTTTTGCAAGGTATATCATTACTAACTGATAAAAAAATTCGTTCATAGCCCGAAAGCGTTTTCGTTTGACGAGTAACGTCCGTCCCTCTATTTGGTAGCCACTGTTCCTGTTCCATGAGGAAAAAAATGTTTTATTCTAAAGACGTGCATTCGAATGTCGGCCATGCAACCATGCATATATCTCAGGTCCTCCTAATTGGGAATTTTGCTTTCGAACAATGACGAGTTAATATAAGAGATATACGATGGGAAACGTAGATGAACGATGATTACCTGCGATGACACTTCAAGAAAGTATTCCACAAACTGCAAACATACTGAAATTACTAAAAGTTGAGCAGTGCGGCTACGAAAACTTGAAAACTTCCAGAAATGTGACCAACAGAGCGAGATCCCTCTAGCGCCTCATCCACGGTTTTTTTCGTTCTATTGTGTGCCTGAATTCATGGTGTCGTTATTGACAAATTTCCGCGCAAACGTCTCTACTATAAATCTAGAAAAGTATTAAGAAAATATAAACTCAATGTTGGGAAATTTCACTTGCATTGCCTGCACCACTTGCTCTGTTTCTGCGGCGTCCCACCAGTGAGGCGCGCCTCTCAGTTTTGGAACCGCTCGTGAAATCTTCTAATTTGTGTTCAACTGCGTCATTTATAATATAATTCCATTGCTCTTATTGCTAAATTCCATGGTACCATAAAGTTACTAAAATTCATTCAAGTAGCATATTATACGTCTTTTTATAATTTAAAATTTTCATTCTTCTGTAAAATTAACACTAAAATGATTCTCATTTTACGATACCGGCACATTTTTACACTGCATTAGAACGATAAAGAATTCTTTTGAATAAGGTTGTACATTACAACAGGCAGTAGAATACTATGTTCAGATACCCATGACAAAGTTCAGCGCAAAAACAAAAAGAAATGTAAATTATGTTATGTTTAGTGTTAATTTAGATAATTAATTAACCCAGCGATATATACGACGTCTGGACCAAGCATCTGTTACCTTTTCTGGCGCCCGCCTACGCGCGTCTGAGTGACTGAGTCACACCTTACCCGGTCGGGTCAACCGCCTACCCAAACCAACCGATTCCTGGTGCAAGTATTTCGCCTCAAATGATTTGTATTTCCTTTTATCTGTATTTTTGTATAAATTTTGAAGAAATTTGCCTCAACTCATCTGTACACCTGAATGCTTGCGTCGTCCAAACTTTCCCTATCATTAAAAATCATGAAGTGTAATGTTAATCAATACTTAGTGAACAGTGTTATGTATTGATGGTAAAAACGACGGAAAAGCAGCTGCTTCCAAGTTTATCTTTGAAGTTTTTTCACCCTTGTAATGCTAGTGGTAATTAGAACGGAAATATTTGCTCAAATTTAGGACTACTCACATCCGTGATAAACTTCACAGCCAGTAGACATTTAATGAATATTTTATTATGCTTATTCGTTGTTAATTAGGTAATAAACGTAATCTGTCTAATGCCCCGTTGCTAGTTTTACTTGAATCTACAGTCATGAAGCGACGACAACTTCGGTGAAATTTGTCAGGCTTCTTCAATGTTAGCGGATGATTTTACACGAAGACTTTTCATTTTCTCTTCTAGAAATCGGCATTAGGGTAAAGGGATGAGATTTTTCACTTTCTCTTTGAGAAATCGATATTAAGGTAAATGGATATACAAACTTAGAAAATGCGAATTTTTATCGCAGGAATGCACGGGCAATCGTGACTCTCAGTCACGACTGGTCGGAATTAATGATCGAGACCTTGAATAAAGCAGAGGTGACTGCTCGGACAAAGGTGTGCCAGCAATTTGCGGACAGCCATGTGAAGTAATCCGCTAACTAATGTGAGAACCATTATCTAAATTAATACTAAAGTAAGTTTCTAATTGTACGATTAATTTTCTTGTAATCTGAAGGTCATTCAAGGTTCCAGGCTTTATGCAAATAACAAACAAAATTCTTTCGCTTATTGCCAACCGAAATTACACAATTTTTATTATCAAAAAGTAAAAAGAGGAATTATTTCTACCATTCTTGGTTATTTACTCGATTTCCGTGTAAATGAAGCCTACACTCACTCAATCCTATCCGAAACAAGCCGTCCCATCACCCAATTTACATGTAAACAAAATGCAAATCTAATTTTAAGCAAAGAGTTTTCATGATGAGGAAAATAATTAATGAACCCGTAAAATAATTTTTCATGAATATGCTGTGAAATTATGTCTTTAAATACCGTTCTATTTTTGAACTCTCATTTATTCCATGTGAACAATTATGTAAGAGTTGTCAATACGTCGCAAGTATTTTAAAACATTATGAAAGTATAATCCTCCGCGCACAGAAGTAGAAAGATCAAATCATGGAAAGCACCATTGCTAAAAAAATATTCGTATTCAATCATGCATGAGAGTTTTCCTATGTGTTTAATTATTCTGAAATTACAACGTTAGTCAAATCGAATAATAAATCACATGAGTAGCTATAAATCTAAACTGACGTCGTATGATTCTACAAACTTAACACATAGCTGCTGATAAATGAGCATATTTTACGCAGCTGCTACTAATGCACGGATTTGTGAGGCATTTCTCGGCAGCTGAAGGGGTTAGAACAACAGCAAAATTCTACAAACTTAACACATAGCTGCTGATAAATGAACATATTTTACGCAGCTGCTACTAATGCAGGGATTTACGAGGCATCTCTCGGCAGCTGATGGGGTTAGAACAACAGCAAAATTCTACAAACTTAACACATAGCTGCTGATAAATGAACATATTTTACGCAGCTGCTACTAATGCAGGGATTTGTGAGGCATTTCTCGGCAGCTGAAGGGGTTAGCACAGCGGCAAAAAGCAGCTGTCGTATCGAGCTGAGCGTAAATACGGCGACGTGGCGATAGTCAATACATCGATCCGATAAGCTCCGACGCTGCACTTGTTGTAACGCGAGTGTCTTCCATTTATGTTACATCCTCAACATTGTTAATCAAACTAAAGTATTTTGCAAAATACTAATAACGTTAAAGATTGAAAAAAATTTTGCATAAATGTTTTTCTTGACGTGATTTGTGGTTGTTTTAATCGTGACTTTAATGGGTTTATCGTGACTTAAATGGGGAAACTCTGTAGGAGTTTTCAAAAGTCTGTCGTTGTTATATTATTATTACGATTATTGTACGTATTATCACTGTAGTACGATTATTGTAGTTGATGATTACTGATACAACATCTGCTTTAATTACTGAAAAATCACTTCACTCACGTTGATATAGCTTATAATTTGCTTCCCAACGAATTAAAAAAGTCAACTTGTGAACTGTTTAGGAGAGCAATTATTCTTCATTTTTCTATGTTCAAATATTCCAGTTCAATGGTTATACGCAATTATTGAACTTACTGTATAACAAAATAATAAGAAGCTAATTTAAAATACGCAAACTCTAATCAATGATTGGCACCAAAATTTCTAGGTTAAATGTTGTTGTTATTCTCTTAGCGTGTCTATATAGGATGACCCGGAGGTTGACTTTAGACGATTACTTTCCTTGCGTGCAGCGTCTCCAGGTCAACGACTCCTACTTGAACTTCCAGGTGACAGTACGATTTGTATAAATATTTGAAAAATCCAGGAGATAATTAATTAGTGCTTAAAATATCTGGCGTATATACGATTTGTTTCATAAATCTATATTATATGTGATTTAATTACTTAGTATATACTTAAATCCCAGGTGAAAGTATGATTTGCATCATAAATCTAAAATATCTTTGTGTTAATTAATAAGTACTGAAAATGTCTGGCGTATATACGATTTGTTTCATAAATCTATATTATATGTGAGTTAATTAATTAGTATTTAAAATCTCAGGTGATAGTACGATTTGTATCGTAAATCTATAACAAATGTGAGTTAATTAATTAGTACTTAAATCTCAGGTGATAGTATGATTTGTATCATAAATCAATAATGTCAATGTGTTGATTAATTAGTAATTAAAATATTTGGCGTATATACGATTTGTTTGTTAAATTTAAAATATCAATTAGTTAATTAATTAATGAGTAAATAAAATATCCGGCGTATATACCATTTGTATCATAAATCTAAAATATCTGTGAGTTAATTAATTACTGCTTAAAATATCTGGCAAACATAGGGTTTGTTTCATAGATTCGCAATACATGTAAAGTTACTAGTTTGCAATTAAATTCCAAGTGAAAAATAAGATTCCTATCACAGATCTGAAATATCAATGACTTTATTAGTGACTCACTTCAAAATACATGTAAAATTTTTAATTATTCTAGGCCTGGAATAATTACCAGTTAATTAATGATCACGTAAATTACGCAGGTAAATGTATGATTTCTCCATCCAGAATACCTCTAAGTAAATTATTAATCCTCACTCAAGTTTCCCAGGTAACATCCGGTTTCCAGATATAGAGTGCCTGTGAATTTTTTAATATTCACTACTAACAAAATTTTCCGAGAGGAAATACGATATCTAGAACTAAAATACCTATTAGTTCATGTTTACTAATTGAATTACCATGTTGAAACTCACTTTCTTGATGTAACAGGTGATCTAATATTGCAATTATGTAATATTAACTTAAATTAACAGGTGAAAATACGATTTCTGGATCTAAGATACAGAAAACTCGTAAAACTTTTGTTAAAAACTCGCGTAAAATCTCGGGTGTAAATAGAATTTATACACCCAGAATATCGCTGAGTTTAAAACCATTCATTTAAATATCCCGGTGAAAATACGATTAGTATTAAATAAAAAATACCTGTGAATTAAGTGAATGTGATGCAATACTTAGGCTTCTTAGTGTAAAATAGTTAAGTTAATACAAGTAATAATAATAATGATAATAATAATAATAATAATAATAATAATAACATTAAAAATAATAACCAAAAATAATATTAAGAGATAAATCTATTCTACGATTAGCAGTCCAGCATTCACGCAGCATGGATCGTTTTGATCATGAAACCTTCAGCAAAGTTCCGTCGCTCAAAGATCTGACCTTGGGAACTAAGATTGATCGATCTCATACCGCGATCGAGTGAACTGCTGCTTAGATATTCAGATCGATCTACATCCATTAGATCGTGAGCCTCGATCAGGGTTTGTGCAACTAAAATCAATGGCCGGATTGATGACTTTGTCAAAGATAGGAAATTATGTCAAGGTTAAGCTGTGTCCATGAACATGATATTTTGTCCATGATATTTTATGATACACTGATTTTTTTCATAATATTTTATGATACATTGATTTATGTCCATGATGCTTTATGATACGCTGATTTTCCCCATGATACTTTATGATACGCTAATTTTTGTGCATGATACTTTATGATTCGCTGATATTTGCCCATGATATTTTATGATACGATAATAACCAAGAACATGATATTATGATGAAGAAATGATGGATATTTTAATGCAGTCAATAGCTTGTATGTGTTGTCTCAATTGGCTTTATTCAGTTCACTTATTTGAGGTTTTTATTGGGGTTTTCCGATGAAAAAATTCCTATATGCTAATTGATCTCTTTTTCTAACGGCGTATGTTATCTTGAATGAACATTCTTATTTGAAATTATAACAGTTAAGCTCAGAATTCATATGCATATGAGGTTGCCATATAAATTCATTTGTTTCATTCATATTAATAATCGAAAACTTTTTTAATATTTTTCTGATATTTCAATACTAACTTAACAATAGGAAAATCAAGCACGTTTTCTAACACATTATAGGGAACTCATGGGTTCAGTCTTCGCAAACGTTAAAAGAATGTATGGCAATCTAATGGCGTTCGCTTGATAAGGTGACCTTGGCCCATACTTTCAAAAAAGTTAAGAGATCGTTAGTTCATCAGCCAATCATTGACGGCCTTTCAAGCAAAATCCACCAATCACAGACAAGAAAATAGAGCGTAAGTACTTACGTTCACTTAGCGACTTTTGAAAGTATGGCCCCTTGATGCCAAAACGTAGCTAATATTCAGCGAGAGCAGAACGGTCTATATTGAAATAGTTGAACTGATCGGAAAGATCAGTTCGACTAAATTCGAAAATTTGCGGACTAATTTTCTGATCAATTAGCCTCACAAATGTAATTTTATGGAATTTTTTAACAAAAATATTTGTACTGAGTAAAAGTTTTCACATGACGTTCATGTCGAACCTGGAACAATATTATCTATAAAATTATATTAAGTTGCAACCTGTTATTTCTTTTTAAACATTTTACCTGTGGTATAAATTAATAAATCACTGAATAATTTTCATGAAGATTTTACCTTCAAAAATTAGAATAATTAACAGCCTGTTATTCCTTTCAAAATATTTGACCTGTACTTTAAATTGATAAATTAATGAATAATTTTCATGAATTTTTCCTTTATGCGAAATCTCCTAATCCGCGTTCTTGATAAATATAAAGTTTAACAGCGACAATATCTAGGTCAGACCTTCTAAAAAAAGTCGCTCGGAATGTAAAAAGCAGATTTTTTCCATGTGTTTCAATCAACTTAACCGTGACCTTGATCAGATTAACTGTGACCTTGAACGCTTAATCACGCACTTATTGGTCTTTTGAAACTAATCATGTTTAAGATATTCATGTAACTCGGAATTATATCCTTTTTCACACAGCTTAGAAACTATTAGTAATTATTCATTATCTAATATAAATATCATAAAAAATTTTAAAGTTCTTTAATCGTTTAATGGTTGTTGTTATACAATTACATGACAAATTTATTTCCTAAAGTCTTTTATTACTTGATTTTAGTTAATATCTTGCTAAGTAAAAAATTTAAAAATTTTTAACTTCTTAAATTCTTAGTTAACTTAGAAATTTTGTTAATGAAAGAGTAATTTCCCAATGACATGAATACCTGATGCTGAACTCTACGTCGCCAATAATTATTATACTTCTTCCTAAATCTTCCTAAAGTCTCCGTCTCTAACAAAAATTTTAACCCTTTGTACTCAGGATTATTAACCATCGTTGATGCAAAATTTTATGCCCAGACTTGCTTATACCTTACAAGTACAATCAGTAGCAAAAAAGTGATTTATAACGAAATAAATTAATCTTCAATTGTTAGAATTATTATAAATCATCAGTAAATATATTTTTAACTTTTTTGCCTTGATTACTCGTGTGTTGGAAACCTGACACAGTAAAATATAGCAAATTTTTGTGCTCATTTTTTACAATAGATTCCGTGTAGGCATATTGCCTGAAGATGAAATATATTGTAAGTGTTGGAATAATCGGATAATTTATATGTAGACTCTAATTTCCATTCAAAATATAATCAAGTTTTATTCAGAATTTTAAACCGTAGGAGAAGTGGGGGTTTCGTGCTTAATGAAAGTTAAAAAAGGTATTTAGTAGTTAATATTTCATTAGTTCGAAAATTATTAAGAAGATAATGGGGAAATGGAATTAAAGGTTGAATTGAATTTTAGAAAATTGAATTAAAGATAACGAGATCATAGGAGATAGAAGTCAAAAGAATCATATATAACAGAATCGTTCATATACATTTCAGAGATTATGAGCAACACCGGATCGAGCATAAATATTTTTAATGCAATAATTTTTTATAAAACATAAATATTGTTTATTGTTATTTATCAACATATGTGATATAACTAAATTTTCTTCTACCATTATTATGATACAATAAAATATCAATATTCTAATCAGTGAAGAATACAGAATTTGAACTTTTTCCACTATAGTATAATTATAAATGACCGCCTATTTGAAATTATGATGACTTACCTGTTGGATTTTGCTGCCTGACCACCTGTTTTATCACAAAATTTATCACTTTAAAGCAAGTATCTCTCAATCATTATATTGAATGAAGGCATCCAAAATCAATGGGCACATAAAATACAAGCCCTCTACTCTTTGTTCGTAAGTTATTGCATAACTGCTGCATAATAATTTTTCTTTATTATTGAGACTGCCGTAAATTTTTGCACTTCAAGTAAGAGAACAATAGATTCCACTTTTCTTTTCATTCATCTTTGTAAACACATTTTTTAACGTCATCAACATATTGATCTATGTTAACAATTTTTCGTGACGTCTACTACGTATTGTTATTTATATTACCACAAATAGAAAATTCTTAATAAATATTTAAATAACTATTTGAAGTTCCTGTAGCACTGAACGCATCTTAGCTGAAAACGTCACCGATTTTGCTTATATTTATCCATTAAAAATCCTCGCTATTTATATTGCTTTTAAACATATATCCAATAAGAATTCCAACAATAACATTTCCTGCTCAGAAACGGAGCAAATTTGACATAACCCTCGTGTGATCACAGCCAAGCTGGCACTGACATTCAGTGCCCAGATAAACCTGGATTTTCTCCTCCTCCGCAAGATGTTGTGGAGGAGGCAACTAAGATGAATAGGAACTCGAGAGCTGAACTTAAGTGAACAAAACTGGAAGAAACATCCTAAAGTGGCGTTAATTAATAGCGAATTTAGGCGGCGTTTTCTAATGTAGCAAAGAATATGTTCACACACATTCGTAAATATATCTCTTTAATGTATTAAATTTGTTTGAATATTCTTTTTATTTTCCGGTCACCGATAACACTGTATTTTTGCCGTGAATTATTTAGGCATTCAATACAAATATTTTGAGAACGTAAAAAATTCTTTGATCTTTACGGTTTAGCTCATGTAATATGGCATCGCTCAGGGGGAATAGCCTTATATTATTGTGTAATTCCTTCATAAATTAGAGATGTTATTTAGGGTCTCAAAAAGGTGATTACGTTAAATTATGATGTGCATAGTTAACTGTCTTTAAAGATAATATTTATTGATTAATTTGGAAGCGATGTAACCAAATAATTATAATCATATAAAATTTCAGTTAATCAGCTGTTGGTCCATTATTTACATGTGTAAATGTTTGCACTACTCGTCACGCATTTCATTAACGAGGACCAGACACTGAATCGATTCATTTCTATCCAACCACTTAGGCCTAATTTTATTTTCAACATTCAAGAACCGACTTAGGCATGTTTCAGTCAAATTACATCGAAAAGCACAGTTCACTTATAGCCTTTGAAGAATCTGTGTGCTTCATTTCACCAATCAAATTTTTATAATTTACCTTAACCACTTTTATCAGTGACTTTTATTAAACTTTTTCTGTATAACTGCCTTAGTCTCAGATTAATGTTTTGCCAATGACGTCACATACGAAAAAAGTCAATTAGTAATTGATTGATTCTTTATTGTATCATCGGCCCAATTACTTATAGAAATACACATAGAAATTAGACTACAAGAAATAGAAATTTTCACATAGGAATTTTCAAATATTCACAAAATAATCAAATCCGGAAAATAGCGCCAACATCGCACGTCAATACTTCTAAACCGACTGAGAGGCAGTCGGCGCTGTTCAGTTTGCTTAAATGGTGGCATGACAACCGGGGTGGGTTGGCATGGCAACGCGTCGTTGGCATGACAACCCCACACCTTCACCCAAATCACTCACTCACATTTGATTTCTTTTATAGGATAAATAATTTGAAATTATTGCATTAACAATGAAATTTATCCTCTTACTCGGGCACTGCCGTAATTAATTAATTTATTATACACAACCAAATTATTACATTCGAGAATTTCAGGAACACTATAAGCAGCAATGCGAATAATACGGACGGATATTATCCCAATATTGAAAAATATTGAGAATGATATTTTTCTGATGTTGAGTAATATTGAAACGCGTCATGAAAGGATCATCGCCTTCGTGTTTGCGTTATCTTTGGAGTTACGCAGCGTAAACATCACTGCACTAAAAATGCAACGAAGAACATTTATTTCATATCTTTCATATCATCATACATGAGTGAGTCTGTCCATGTATATGGTGATGTATATTTTGTCTATGTGTGGGGCATCCTAAACCAGCTGGCGTATCTGTGCTACGCGCAAAAAGTGTGTCACTAATTGGACAATTTCGCCCACGCATTCTTCTCAGAGTCAGACGCTAGAGGAGACCTAAGCAGCCGATGACGTAGCTCGTGTGAGGCATTAAAAAAATATGTTTTTTTTAATAAAAATTATAGGCAAGTTCAGCGAACATGAAGAATATGGAAATTTTTAGTGAAGATGTAAAACCTTGATGAAAGCCTTAAGCGAGGTTCTCTATTTAATTATTCAATAGTACACTGCAAATGTTTTTCATTGGAAACTGATATGATGTTAAAATGTTAATAAGATTAGGAATACAATTACAGCAATACAGTTGAAAAATTTTTCTAATAACTAATTAGCAAGCGATAACTAATAATAATAATATTATTAATAATAATATTATTATTATTATAATTAATATTATTATTATAATAATATTATTATTAAACGATAATAAATAATCAACAACAGCATCAATTTTCATCTCGAGAAACTCGAGAGATAACCGAATATATTTTGAATTTAAATATCACTGATAACAATATGATGATTTTTAATTCATCCCAATTCACTAGAGCGTTTTAATTCAAGTGCACAAGCTCAATCTCAATAATATTTTTGAACGAATATTAAACATGGTTTTCTTCCCTTAATGTAATAATTTAAATTTCAACGTATCAACTGAAGAGCTATAAAATAAAAAAATGTCAAATTAGTCAACGTTGAATTTGTCTTGTACAAAAGTAATCTGTCCGACTGTCGTCACTCTGCTAATTATAATTATATATCAAATAAATTGAAAATGCCCCTCGTAATTAACACATTTATTCGCACAGTCATATAACATTGGAGGAAATTTTAATTGATGTTTAAATGCATTATTTGAAAATAATGATGGTTAATATTGGAAAATTTATAATATCTGAATGCATCTTTCATATCAAGTAACGATAAAAGAATTAAAAATTAATTATTTGAAAAATATTTATAATTCTACATTGAGGTCGTGACAATTGCACTAAATTTAACTCCCTCAACAATTATTCAACAATTAAATGTCTTTGTTATAAATCAATTTGCAAATAAAGAAAATATGGCAGGATCCAGACGTTGCTGATCAACTTCATGGGCAGAAACTGAACTGCCACTGAAGAATCTGGGGAGAAAAGAAACGGACAAATTTAGTTGCAAAAAATTATATATCCGTTTCTTATATTAAAGAATAATTCTAACAGAATGAATTTTATTAGTGAAATTATTATAATTATTAAAATATGTTAAATATTATTGATCAATATGTAATAATGAAAGAAGCAATTTTATAGTCAACATAAATCACGATTGATTTTTCAAAATTGTTTTGTGTTGAAACTCATATAACTGTGATAGTTCATAAAATTCTTCCTGTTTAAGGAATTAAAAAAATAGCTGTTGGTGAATATGGTATTTCCCACATTATATATCAATCAGCAACGACAAATTTCTATTTCCAAAAGTTTGAATACACTAGGAATAGTGCACAATCTATCATTTTAGTTTGTACAGTTAAAAATTAACGCTCACTTTGCACATTCCAGATTATCAATTTAGTTTGCACAGTTTAAAATTAACGGTCACTTTGCACATTCCAGTTTATCAATTTAGTTTGTGTAGTTAAAAATTAACGGTCACTTTGCACATTCCAGTTTATCAATTTACTTTGTGCAGTTTAAAATTAACGCTCACTTTGCGCATTCCAGTTTATCAATTTAGTTTGTACAGTTTTAAATTAACTCTCACTTTGCACATTCCAGTTCCATAGCAGCCTGGGGTCGTTTTCTGTTGTAGTTGGCTTGACGGTTGACGTTGTAGTTGCGTCAGAAAAACCAACACCAAAATCTCCACCATCCATACCGTCGATGATGAAATTAAAGTCAAATCTGGTGGTAGTTGAAGTGGAAGAAGTGGTGGTCGTGGGCTTTTCAGTGGTAGTGGTAGAAGTAGTAGTCGAAGGCTTTTTAGTGGTAGTGGTAGACGTAGTAGTCGTGGGCTTTTTAGTGGTAGTCGTGGGCTTCTTAGTGGTAGTCGTAGAAGTAGTAGTCGTGGGCTTTTTAGTGGTAGTCGTAGGCTTTTTAGTGGTAGTCGTGGGCTTTTTAGTGGTAGTGGTGGGCTTTCTAGTGGTAGTCGTGGGCTTTTTAGTGGTAGTCGTAGAAGTAGTAGTCGTGGGCTTTTTAGTGGTAGTCGTGGGCTTTTTGGTTGTAGTCGTGGGCTTTTTAGTGGTAGTTGTTCTCTCGTTACAACCGTGAAGGTCAGCGATCTTTAACATGTCAAGCTGCAAAAGATTATATTCATGCATATTTTATCATCAAGTGCAATAAATCAAACACTCGATTCTAAAATTTCATCATAAAAAAATTTTCATGTCTGAAATCACTGAGTACGTCTCTCATAAAGTATATGAGAAAATTTTCACTTAATTTTATACTCAAAATGAATGTGTCGTAACAAAGCTTAATAGAATAAAATAGTCTTTAACACATATATGACATAACAATTATAGAAAAATATTACTATACAAGACTGTTAAGCTCTTTTTAAGGGGGCGCAGCCGGAGGCCACAAATTTTGCTCTTAAATAAGCCCTGGAGCCAACGCCCAGCCTCACCATGCATTCTTAAACTCAGCCTTAGAGCTAGAAGCACGCTTGAACTACGTAATTCAGACAAGCGACACATTGCCGAAAGATAATAGCGCGTAGGTTTTCAGCCAATGCTTAAGCAAGCTCGCTCATAAGCAGGCAGTTCCCCATTCGGCTGTACCTACTCCGGCCTAACCTCTTCTGGCCTAACCTATTCACGCTGTCCCGGCTCACAACCTTCTTGCAGCATATGACTGGCTCTACCAGCTCACTTGGATCGCCTTTCTAACTTTTTGCAACCAACGAGGTTAGGTTAGGTCCGTTCAGGTTTGTTTTGAGCGAAGAAATGTTGCTACTTGTGTAGGTTATACAGGCTTAAAGAGGCTAGGCCGAAAGAGGTTTGGCCAGGTGCTGTATGTACCTGTTTATCTTTAGCAAGCTTTTTTTTTTGTGGCTGTGGAAATCCGGCGCTATGGCTTTGAGCACTTGACTTCATAGGCTGTTATGCCCTGTACATTCTTACCAACGGAAAATAATATGAACTAAGTGTGAAGTTTGGCAAAGCTGGCCTCCGGCATGCGCCCCAAAACTTTCCTTTGTTGGGTTGATAAAATATAGTGATAACGTATTCCTACAACAGAATTCAGTTGGATTCTGAAATTGCTATAGAAGGGGGCGCATGCCGGAGACCAGTTTGCCAAACTTCGCACTTAGTTCATATTCCATTCCGTAGGTAAGAACGCTAGAGGGCATAACAGCCTATGAAGTCAAGTGCGCAAGGCCATAGCGCTGATGTACACAGCCACAACTTAAGCTTGCTAAAGGTAAGCATGGCCATACTGCATATGGCCGATGATCCTCTTCCGGCTTAATCGTTCTCACGTGAAGCAATTGGAGACTTAATAAAGAAATGTTTCAAGGAAGCTTCGAACAAATTATTAATGTTCTTCGATATGAGAAAGTCGTGAACTTGCGTGATTACGAAGCAGGGATAACTAACCCCTGCATCCTAGAACATGACTGCATCTTAACCTCTCCAGACCTAACCTGCACCAATTGCAACATTTCTCCGCCCAAAACAAACCTGAGAGGACTTAACCTCACCTCATTGGCTCCAGAAAATTAGAAAGGTGGTCCAGGTGCGCTGGTAGACCCAGCCATTGTCTGCAAGAAGGTTGTGAGCGGGGATAGCGTGTATAGGTTAGGCCAGAAGAGGTTAGGCCGGTCAATGTACTGACGTGGTATTTTCTGGTATTATCTGGTATTAAATTAATGGGATGAGGAACTGTCAGCTTGTGAGTGAGCGTGCTAAGCATTGGCTAAAGATCTAAGGCGCTATTATCTTTCGACAATGCGTCGCTGGTCAGGATTATGGAGTTCAAGTGTAGTCTGTGGCTTCTTGCTCTGAGGCTGAGTAAAGTTAATGCATGGTGAGGCTGGGCGTTAGCTCCACGGCTTTTTTAAGAGTGAAATTTGTAACCTACGGCTGCGCTCCCAAAGTCTTGATATCTAAAATACCAATTTAAACTAATACTCACACATAATGATTTTTATTGCCTCACTGCTGAATTACATTAAATTTCGGGTCGTCAGGTGCCATTATCAACCTTAGTTTCCTTAGTGTTTGTTTGGGACGAAGCAGTCCCAGGCCACGATGGATGGCATGATGCACACGACTCGCACATATTATAATTTATTTGATCCACTTGAAATTTACCGCACTTTCCAGACTGGTGCACATTTAGGTTTGATACCGGCACCATACCTGCCGGGTACTTGCCAGGCATGGTCCCGTCCAATATTCTTTATTTAATTTTTGTTATTGAAGCCTTCACACCAGCCGTGTAAGGCACCTGCCATGCCAGGTACGGTCCAGCCACGATCATGAAAAAAGATATTTTGACCGAGACGTGACTGCAGCGTTGACTACTATTATTTTAATTTTTTGCCAAGTATACCAGGCTGCCAGCTTAACATACCTGATTGTTGCAAAAATACCGGATCAAAAATATCCATACCAGACATACCCTTGTGAATCAAGTCACGAAAAGTTCAAGAATCAACAACAGGCCATGGGCCTATTTCTTCAACGCCGACACTTCTATTCTATTCTATTCTATTCTATTCTCTATTCTATTCTATTCTATCATCTCAGCATACGGTACCAGATTTGTGAAATATGCTATGGAAATATACCAGTTGGCAACGCTGCGGTGACTGGCATGGCACGTGATACGAAAGGAACTGAAGTGAGGACGGCCCGTGACCAGACTGAACATGTGAATGCACCTGGCAGGAAACGGACCGTGACTGGCACATGCCCGGCTGTATGGTGTGAATCAGGCCTTAACCCACTATATCGCCGTAAGTCACTCACCGGGAACATAACTTTCAAATGAAATTATATGTAAACTATTGAGTGTAGCAACCCAAGGACGTTTGTACGCAACAGAGAATATTTTACAGTTGTCGTACGTGGCGGCAACCATCAGTACAAGTCATTTTGCTCTCACTAGCAACGTATCCATTTTGGGAAGTAGGCTTTTGACAATATTGCTCCGGCTACTGATGTCAGGCGGCAGAGGATAAAAAAAGAATTCCAGCTTAAATGGAAAAGGTACGAACCTTACTCAGCCGTCTTGGTATGGTCTTCGGTACCGGGCGTTTGGGATCTTTAGATGTAATTCTGACCATGGCTATCGACCAGGCCAAATCCTCAGAGATGTGAGTTGCTGACTCGTAGTCGTATTCTTCAAATACGAGGTTAAAATAATTCTTCTCATCCTGTAAAGAATTTTTTAAACTAGAATGACATCCCACACACAATGGTCAACGTCGATATTCAAATTCAACAATGTCCTTTATATTTTACGAATTGATAACGATTGGAGTAGAAAACTAATAATACCAGTCAAACTCAAAGCACAAAATTCCAAAAGATGAAATAAAATTAAACTGATGACAATTTGGATTAGTTACGCAAAGCGTTCTGAAATGAAATGCACCATACAAAATATCATATCAATCATGTTGAGGGAGAATTAAGAATTCTGTTAAATTTAAAATTGTGAAATATAATTTCAAAATATGGGCAGACCTTTGCGCTGAGCAGGGCCTATGGACTTAAGACGTTACGGCATTAAACACTTAACTTCTTAGGCTACTCAGACCCTTAGCGTACTCGATCAAGCATAGGAATATGATACAAAATGTGAAGTTTGGAACTGCAGGCCTGAAGCCAGCACTTAGAATCACATATGAATAAATGCCCGACAGACTTGAGAAAACTCGTCATGAGCTTCAGAATAAACGTGTCTAGAGCAGCCAATGGTCGGAGCGCACACTTAGAAGTGCCCCGGAAGAGAAATTTATGTTTAAAATCTACCTTCGTGAAATATTCCATGATACTGCCCATGCTGGGTGTTATCGTGATGTACATGTCGCGCTGGTATGAGTTGTGTTCAGACATGATACCCACAATGTCCATGAGTACTCTCAGGAAGCCAGCTTTCTCGACGGCATAATTGCTAAGCTCGTAGTAGTTGCCGATAGAAGACTCAGGCATTCCTGGCTCCATCATCTTGCGGCTGAAATAATATATTTTGGATCATATTTATTCAGGTAGCGCCATGAAATCAGGTTGCTGCACGACAAATGCGTTCCTAATGCAATATGGTGAACCTGTCGGTCGATGGAAGATCAACCGCTTGATTTAGAGAGCACGTGACATATGGTGGAGTTAATTTATTTCAAAGTATGAGCCTCTCTATGTATTGTAACACATATTTATTAGAAGGTACAATTAGTCTCAATGCTGTTGTAATGTTTTGAATATGGTTAGTAAATTTCCTGACTACATGCAGATCAGAATTTTCTACTAAAGTTAGGAGTAAAGACCACACATTAAAATTCTTATTATGCGAACACCACGATATTTGCGCTCATTTGAACTCTCCTCGAATATAAAAATTAAACCTAATGTACTTCTCACTAATATTCCCTATTCGGGACGTTGTAGACGTCCGGGTTGATCAAGATGCAGACTTCGCTGAAGGGCACCGTACACCTGATCTCCACGACAGGCACGCAGGACTGTCTGTTGAACTGCGCTGTGTCTTCACGCATGATCTGCTGCACCGCTTTTGCTGCCAATAATAGTATATAATAAATTCTTCGAAAAATGTAAACTATAAAAAAATAGAAAAAGAAGTTACATGTCCTCGCGGATGCGCTGCTATGCCATCGTTGCTGCCAGAGAATGGCTGCAAAGGACCTTTAAGAAAAAATTTAGAAAAATAAAGAAAAAAATATACTCAGTACTCACTGCAGTGAGCGACAGAGAGCGCATTTTCTCGTCGACGAAAACTTGAGGTCACGAACGGACGGACAGACGGACGGACGGACAGACAGACGGACATGGCGAACACAATAGGGCATTTTTTCCATAAATGAGAAAATGCGCTAAAAATGAATGTAGAAAAATAGCAGAAAAATCTAATACACGCTGTTCGAAATGGCCATGAAAAGCGGTGTTTTCGGTGCTCGAGTTTTCTTTAATGTGGTATGAGTTTCTGGTGTTAAATTGAAAAAAACTACGACACGGTGTTTTTTTCGGTGCTGGCCAGTTACTGAAATTCCGATAAGACGGTACTTTTTCGGCGAAGTTTCGAACAGTGGTAATGGTTAGGAATTTCTTTTATGCGATGAAGAAGAAGGTTAAATAAACAAAGCTCCACGCGTCTCCAAGTTGATCATCTTCGTCTCTGTCTGCAAAAAAATAATGAACAAAGAAGATCTTTAGTATGTAAAAAGTTCGTCATATGACTTCAAATTTGTTTCTTTATCGAACTAATGAAATAAAACACAAAGTCATTGAACCAATTAAAACTATATTATTCCAATGATCCGCGAGCTGTCAGTCAATAATGTCTTGTTCAAATCTTTCTATACTGACGGCCATCAAATACACATCGCGTTGATGCCGATTAATGAATCCGTAGACGAAACTTGAATTAGTATTTGTCATGCATTAGTTTAACACAAATATTATTCCAAATAAGAAATTTATCACAACTGTTGACTCCTCGATATTTCATCTTTGTTTTTATCCATCATATTGCAAAATGCGCAGTCAATCCGCGAAACTAATAATAAATAATAACAGCTATTGTGAATTTTATAATAGCTGGCGATTAAAGCCAATTTGCATTGTAATAAATAGAAAAACGTTTCCTTGTGTTTGAGCTTACAATAACTTCCATAGTTGATCTGTAAGGGGATTCGGTTGTTGATCCATTTCCTTGGTTTCCATAATTCGCCAGCGACTGGCTGAGTGCGGAACACCGCCCAAGATGCATTGGCTGGTTGATCTGTTTCCCACTGCCATTGAAATGAACTTACATTAATAAAAATTGCATAATTATAGTTTATAAATGTCATCTCATATAACTGATATTATTGAAAAGCTCCCTGTAGACTTTATGACCATTGCTGCATGATAACAATTGAAGCACAGGAACGCAATAAGTACACTTTAGTTTTTAATTAATAAGAACTCTAGATTTATAACATTCATTTAATAATACATGAGGAATTGATAACTGATAACATACCGAGTAAAACATTCGTTTTCTCAATACTATATCACTTGACGTCGTACGAGACAGCACACATTGTCATTTGTAGCGTTATAGGTGGCAAACAACATAATTTATCGTTGTAGGGCACAACCCATCTAGGCCCTGGTGTAGTTGTAGGGCACAACCCACCTCAGCCCTGGTGTAGTTGTAGGACACAACCCACCTCAGCCCTGGTGTAGTTGTAGGGCTCAACCCACCTCGGCCCTGGTGTAGTTCTAGGGCACAACCCTACAATATAAATTTACAGCGTTGAATGTGTTAGTATTGTAGCTTATGTGAAGGAAATCTAATGTTTTTCACACTGTCACTATCACAGTTTTTTAAGTTTTTGTTGTTACACGTCGCAAATTTGCATGCGGCCTGAGATGATGCCTTTATATTAAAAATTGCTATTAAATAGAGCTACTGGTTTCTTCAAATTTTAATAATTTATTGTTTATTTATCCGCCCAAAATACAAACAAAGAAAGGAAATGAAATGAAATGCAGACGGTTGTGATCACGGACATCGGTATGGATCTCGCTCTCACTGTCGAGTCTGAAAAAAAAGAGAAAAATTTATATCATCTATATGTGCTAGATACTAGAAATACTCGACCGTTCATTTCTCGTTGCTATTTTTCTATAAACTTTTTTACATTCATTGAGACTAATTGCATTATTATTTATTTAGAAGATAATTTACGGAATTAAAACTGTCCATGGAAGAGTTGAATAGTAAAATATCGTTATATTTTAGCAGAAATACTACTCGCATTACGCGACATTCACATTTTTTTTTCAGTCGAATTTACGGCAAAATTTTAATTTTCTGTTTCAGATCACAACTTAACAAATTTACATACCATATATTTACCATATATCTACCATATATTTACCATATATTTAGTACACAATCTGTTAATTTATTCAAAGAGCATGGAATTGAAGCTGAAACTCACTTTGTGCATCGAGATTCCCGAGAAGTACAGTGCCGTTTCTCGTAGCAGTTGTTTTGGTAGCAGCACTTGAGGTAGTTGTTGTACCAGAGAAAGAGTAATCAAAATCACCACCATTATTTGCACCATCAAAATCACCTCCATTATTATCACCATCAAAATCACCACCATTATTTGCGCCATCGAAACCGTCTATTTCGAAAGTAAATTTATATTTGGAAGTTGTTGTGCTGGTCGTATCAACGCCGAGTTGTTCTTGTGAGGAAGAATCAATCGAAGTTGTTGAAGTTGCTTGTGAGGAAGAATCAACCGAAGTTGTTGAAGTTGCTTGTGAGGAAGAATCAACCGAAGTTGTTGAAGTTGTGTTAAATGTTAGATATTGTAAACCGCTGCAGTTATGGAGGTGAGCGATCTTGAAAACGTCGAGCTGATGAAAATATAATGCATGAATTAATTATTGCTATAGGCGCATTGAAGCACGCGTCTCCTCGTTTGGTACCTATTATAATGATTGACCAAGTTGTTACATTCCAATAATTCCGATGTTGAAAGTGTTTTTAATCTTTTACAAAAGCTCGTAAATTTTGAGTGGAAAGATACTCTCAGAAGCTTTTTAGGCAACGAAATGTATCGAAATGACGCTAGTTCGTCAGTTTTTACTCAAATGTAGTAGAACATAACCTACTGATGAGCGTCTTCAAGCGATTATTACTTTATTTCAAATAAGAAAAGTCTTAATATTTTTATGGTCACTATTCTTCAGCGTGAAGTTTTAACATGCACCATTGATTGGACCTAAACGTTTGTTGTGTGCCGTTATGGAATATTATTACTCCCTAGCACCAATTCATATACAAGCAAATTCATATTAAATGTTTAAAATTTACAACACGTTCCAGACTCATGAACAATTAGGGATAATTCCAGGCTCCAGCCCTATAGATACGAACCTTACTCAGGCGGCGTTTCATGGTCTTCGGGACTGGCCGGTTGGGATCTTTGGATGCAATTCTGACCTTAGCCAGCTCCCAGGCCAGGTCCTCAGAGATGTGAGTCGCTGACTCGTAGTCGTATTCTTCAGTTATGAGGGAAAAATAATTCTCCTGGTCCTGTAAAACAGTAATTAAACTATATTGACATCCAACACATAGTAGACATTATCGATACCGTCAGCTGAGGTTATAACAACGTCCCTTTATATTCAACATTAGCCATAAGTTAGAAAAAGTTCTGTTGTGCGTAATGTTATCTTGCGATGATTTAGCGACCTAATTCATACATCGCTGGATATGTAGCAACACTGGCTTGATTGTTCATGATGTTGGTTTTTGTTCTATATTTTTTGACTACTCCACTGCTGTGCTATCTTCACAGCGAGAAAGTCATGAAATTTTGCGGTTACAGTGCAAGGTGGTTTGTGTTACAGTTTACAGTTGTGTTACAGCGTGTTACAGGTTTGTGTTACAGGTTACAGTTCAAAGTACCAAGATTGGCGCAGAGAGGCGCGGGTTCGATCCCAGCTCTGTGCGCCAGTTTCTGGTCAGAATCGGCGAGGAGGCCGGGCGGTTAAGCAAAGCAAAACTGAAGCAGTGCCCAGATTTTTCCCCAAATTTTTCAAAGTGCCCCAAAACTGAAGCAGTGCCCAACTTCCGCCCAGAAATTGGACTAACTGTGACCCGAACATTAAAACAAATAATGATAATATAATAAAATTTATAATATGACAAACAAAAAAAAGTGCAACTCTTCCTCGGAGGAAGATGATGTTGAGATGAGCTATCGTCTGCTGGGCAAATCAACAACTTTAATGATCCAGAAGAAATATTACAAGAAGCAGACATACTGTAGGCCTATATCTGTTCGCAGGCCCAATGATGAAGAAACGCAAGTTGAATTGAGACCTGAAGTCTTTGCTATTGATAACTTTGGAGTTGTTAAATAAAATGGACATAATTACCCTGGGAAAGATGTAGGCTTATCTGAAGAATGACCTGCAGTTGAATGTACTGAAAAGAGATTTGAATTTTGGCGCCGGAAAGAGAAACAATATCGCCTGACTTAACACCGGGCGGATGTTAATCAGATGATAAATCCAACAAAAAAACTTCAAAGTGAAACCAGTTCCATGTACCAGAACTAGGCATATATGATATATGTGTGATGTAAAATGACTATTTTACACTCTAATACTTGTCATTAAAATGGCATTTGTTTCATTAATATACTACAATGTGTGAGAGTTTCCGAAATCAAAGGGTAAGAAGCTAATAAATTTGGTGGTAAAAAAATTGTATGTTGTCTAAATTTGAGCCAACCAATATCAAGCACAGGTTTCATTTCATTTAAAATTATGGAACAACGTTTCCCGAATTAAAAGTACTTTGATCCAAACATTAAAAAGAAATTATGATAATATTGCGAAGTGATTGAGAGTCTCAAGAAGGTTTTAATTTAAAAATTGAAAGCTTTTTGCATATTAAGATACCTTGCAAATTATTATAATAAAAATGATAAAATATTGAGTTGGTAAAACTATGGAAAAGCGTTAAATTTAGGCCTATCTTTCGCCAGCAGACTTTTCCTAATCACTAAATAATATATATTTTCGATTTCATCTGCTGATTGTGGGAGAACATGAATCCAACTCGTCAAAGCCAAAGCAAAAAAAAATTAAATATTAAAATGTAGGATATTAAGTCATCCTGTTACTCCTCGCACGGATAAAGCGTAAAAATTTAACCGAAAGACACTTCATAAAACATCTTGAAGATAATGTTGAAACACAAAATTTAACGACTTTGGTATAGAGTTTAGACGAAATATCCGAAATATCTCTTCCAACTTGAGAACTCAGATAAGTTCATCCATTATATGCAAACTTTACACGAAGATATGAGACAAAAAACTTATAACTGTTATAATTATCAATCAATACAGGCTCTGCTCGCGAGAATATCATCCAGATTTCGAAAATACAGGCTCTCACAGCAGTCAGCGGTCTAAGTGCATATTAAGAACTGCCTGCGGAAGAGACACTTTATCGATTCTGCGGACCACGATTCTTCAAAATTCTAGAGTATCAAATTTCTAAATCATATCATCAGTTTTCTCAAGCAATTACTAAATAAATACTAAAATCTACCTTTGTGAAGACTTCCATGTCACTGTCCCCGCTAGATGTTAGTGTGATGTACTTGTCGCGCTGGTATTGTTTGTGTTCAGCCGGGAGACCCGCGAAGAACGCGAGGTATCTCAGGAAGCCAACTTTTTCGACGTCTTTATTGCCAAGCGCGTAGTAGTTGCCGATGGCTTCAGTGGGCATTCCCGGCGTCATTACCTTACGGCTGGTTGGAAATATAGTGTACAT